CCTCCACCTTTATAGCCCATGAACTAGGGAGAATTTCTGCTGTGGTCTAAGCTGCCTTATATATGACCATTCACTTGGCTGCGTCTCTTTGCCCTGTCTCCCAAGATCATTCCCACATACCCACTACATAGAGTAAGCCTTTGTTCAATGACTGTAATTGAGGCTGGAATGATCGTCATAAGTCATGTCAGTTATTAAGTGGATCAGCACATGATCGTTCCCAATTTTACAACCTTTTTTTTGTGGTGACCATCAAGTGAATCCATTGTTCTCAATGGGAATTTTTTTGCTGGAAATCAAAATTGCTGGTTTCCTGCAAAAAATATCATAAATCATGGTCATGTGACTATAGGATGCTGCAAATGACAGTAAATGCAGGTCGGTTGCCAAATGCCCAAAATGTGATCACATCACTATGGTGGAGGGAGAGGAGAGTCATCAGAAGTAGCCTGAGGGAGGTTGGTTGTAACTTCAAATGGTTGTTAAATGACTGGTCTATAAATTGAGGACTACCTGTAATCAGTATCTACCCATCCTATAAGTTTATCCATTATCCCATTTCCTGCAATATGGAACAACAGAGAATATGATTTGACTTTCCTCTATACATGTATCTGAAGAAGGCTTTTATACCCCCTCTCTTTTGTTTTCTAGGGCAATATGTACCCAACCTTTCCAACATATTTTCATAGAACTTAGCTCTTTATGTAATTCCCAGAACAGGTTACCGTTTAATCTAATGTTTCCCAAACCTGCAAAAATTACTCATAATTGGATAAAAGTGATTTTTCAAACCTGTTACCAAATGACAACAGGGACACTTAAAAATAAGGACTTTCTAACAAATGGTAAAAATGACTCTGAGAACCGTTTTTTGGAGGAGTGAAGAAAAATCTCTGTGGAACACTGGCTTTACCAAGTAACTAGATAGAACAATTATTTTGCATGGAAATTACATTGTGTGACTTTTTTTTGCACACACCATTCCTTCTCCAAGTATCATGCCCATTCTTGCAAGAACACCAGAAGACTGTTCGTGCAAGAAAGAAAAGTTGGCACAGCCATTTGTGGCTGATGCATAGCTACTTGCAAACAGTAGGATCAGGCTGAGTGCATCCTGTCAGCAGTGGAAGAAAAATGGGGAAAGCCAACTGGGCCTTGTCATTTTACAGAATAGCTTTTAGCACACAATGTAAGCCTCAGAATCTGGTGCTGGAAGAAAAATAGGGAAAGGCACATGACATTGTCACAGAATAGCATTTAGCACACAATATAAGCCTCAGAATCTGGTGCTCTACAAAAATTATAACAAACCTCATAATTCCTAGGTAATATTGGGAATCTAAAATCTTTGACATTATATCCAGAGCAGAGTTCCCCCACCTTTCATGGTTGGTGGCCCGGAGCGGGGGAAGGAGGGAAAAGAAGGAATGGTTTTGTGTGTGGGAGGGTGGCAAATGCATGTGCACAAGCACAAAAATGTGGGTGGGGCCGTGAGTGCTCGCATGATGGAGCTGTGAGCGCCCACGACACTCATGGCATGAGTGGGGCTGCAAACAGTGGCAATGCTCATGCGAGTGGGGCCACAAATGTCTGCGATGCTTGTGGCAACGCAATAGGCCATATCCCGGTAGTTGGCCGCGGACCACAAGTTGGGGACCTCTGATCCAGAAGGCACTGAGTTTGCAATCACACAGAAATCTTGTCACGAAAGGAAGAATTTTCTGAAATTACCAATTTGTTTAGACTGATATGATACTAAATACCACAGATAGATACACCTATGCAACTTTTAAATATTTTTATGAGATGCAATAATGACAGCTACAGTGTATAAAAATTATTATAATGTACATATAGATTGAAAATAAAAGTAACTGAGAAAAAGATTTTAACAATCTTCTAATGAAGCCATAAAAAGTTGAAGTGAAAAACTTAATGGAATAGATTACACGTACAGGATTCCTTTCAATATATCACAATGTAATGAGGATGAAATGAGGAAGGAAAATGATTGGATTGAAAAGGAGACAGGATGTGAACAAGACAATGAGAAGCAATGTATATTTCATAAATAAAATATGTACTGTTCATAAATAAAATATGGCACACTTATTCGTTTAAAAGAAACACTCAAACCAAAGGAGAAAAAGCCACTGGAAGTACTCTTCCAGAGTTTGTAAGATGTAATAATCAGGCACAGAATAATTTTAAGCAACAAGAATTTCAATTGTTTTGATTCAGTTTTGGTGCTTAAAACAAGATTTCAAAGTTAAATCAGAATAAAGGAAGGATTGTATTTGTAAGTCAACTAAATCACATTCTTGGCCAATAACTATCCTAACAAAGATATTATTATGGAAAATGTTTCAAAATGATAGAGACAATGCTATGATTTTAAGAACTAAAAATCCAGTTGGAAAATTTCAGTACTATTTGGTGATTATAAACCAAGAAATTGTTTGCAGAACTGTAGGTTCTTTAACTTCATTGCCATGGAAGCTGCTTCTGAAATTTATCCAAGGTGCTAGAAGCAACTCTGTGGCATATAGAGATGCTATTTTTTTTTTAAATGAAAATATGAACTTCATAGGATTAACTCATGCTACAATTTAAATTCAGCCATATTTACAGATTCTAGACATTAAATTTTACATACCCAAAAATATTTTTTTAAATTGTGCAATAGTTCATAATTTAAGAATAGCAACTATCTTTATAAACTATGTTCTATTATAGTGTTCTATTATGTCTATTTGTCAATATCAAGTCTGCTACGTTTAGTAAATAAGTTTTAGATATATCCTAAATTTCATTTAAAACTTAGTCATATTCAGCAGAATGTTAAAAAAACCCAACAAGAATATTTATGGATGGTTATATTAATTAGTAAAATGTTCTATGCTGAACTTTCCTTCAGCTAGGTACCTTATACTTGGGTTGGACATTAGCTCACAAGTCCCAATACAAATGGATATACAGAGGAAAAAATGGCAGAGTGGCTCTGCAAAAAGTGAGCAAATAATGAAGAGACGGTGAGTAGACCAAAAGAGTGACCTGGGTCATTCTTTAGTATTGGATTTACAAAATAGGTTTCTTAAATCTTGTGAGAAGGGTTAAAAAAGAAATGAAAAGAAATCAAGATCTATGACATTATTTGAATGGACTATAGATGAAGATTGTTAGAAGTAAAAGTAAAGAATATAAAGTTGGTTTATTTGATCAAAATTAAAATATATTGTTATTTCTGGCAACCCTTAATGGACTTTTGCTGATACCAGGATTGAAATGATGATGCTTTATAGATTTGTTTGTAGATCAGATATGGAATATGGAATGATCATTGGTTGTAAATTAAGACATGGTGAAAAGTTATTAAATTTTTTTATACTTGTCTTACGTTTAAATGCAAATTGAAAAAATGCAAATGCTCACTTCCATGTGCAAGCATAGCCTGGATGACGGTAGCAGTAATAAACCAAAATGTAGGCATTGCTAACATATTACAGTACCAACTACTAAAATATAGTAAGTGTCATTTGCCTTCTGGGATAGACATTCTTCAGTCCATGAAGCTTACTTTGCCCTTAAAAACAGAACATGGCTATATTGTTAACAATTCTATATGGAGAGGGAAATATTAAATTGAAAATATGACAAACAAGACAGTTCAATTAAAGCAGATACTTATTTCTTTTTAATAAATTAAACATACAAATTATGTTAGACTAGACTAGACAGCATTATCAACTTTATTGGTTTGTTTATTGATTTGTTTATTCACAATAGCCTTTATCACACACTATAGAGACTCTAGGCACAAACAAGGATTAAAGCCAAAATTAAAATACTATATAAATAACAAGCAATACCAACAAAATAAATATGTGGGCAAACTCTAAAAACATTTCAGTTCGAGTTATAGGATGAGAATGAAAGGTCATTTCTCAGACCAAAAGCTTAGTTATCAGGTCAACGTTTTTCTATTGTTACAGAATTTTTGTATCATACAGGTAACCTTTAACCACCCAGAGTCTCTCAACAGTAAGATAGACAGCATATAAAATTAATAAATAAATAAAAAATAAAACTTATAAAAATTAGTTTGGAAACAATTAGTTTGGCTTCAGTACAGCAGCATGCCTAGAACAAAACAAGAACTGCTAATCAGACCAAAGGCCTAACCAGTCATCTTCCAAATTGGCCAACCTGATTCTAGCACAAGGGTCTCTTCCCATTCTTTATTCTGCAACAAAATAATACTAATTTATAATACTAATATAGCCATCATGCTGAACAGTTATTGAAAGCTTAATTCTCAATTTGTTCCCTTCTAGTTTATAGCATTCATGTTCACAGACATCATTATTTCTTGTAGAAGTGAATTCTATAACTTTAACTGTGGAATCCTTGACGCTCTCTTGGCTGCCAGTTTGGTGGAGGCACGGTTTTCCCTTGGTGATTCCTGCATTAGTGTTTTCTGCTTGATTATCTGCCTGGTGTTAATCTATGCTTATTTGAGCATTAGCTGTTTGAGAGGATATATGTTCTGGGGTTTTTTTTTGTTTCCTTAACTTTTTTATTGTCTATTGTCTTTGAGGGTGATAGGCAGTTTAAAAATGTGATAAATAAATAAAATTACTATATATAATAGCAATAGCAATAACACTTAGACATATACCACTTCATAGTGCTTTACAGCACTCTCTAAATGGCTTACAAACGTAGTCAGCATATTGCCCCAGACAATCTGGGTCCTCATTTTACCGACCTTGGGAGGATGGAAAGCTGAATCAACCTTGAGCCAGACAGGATCAAACTCCTGGCAGTGAGCAGTGTTAGCCAACAATAAGTGCATTCTAACCACTGTGCCATCATGGCTCAAAGTATAAACAAGGAGCAAGCCCCATAGTTGAGTAATGAAACATCTGCAAACAAATAATCACGTTCAGAGGGTGCCAAGGATTTCATGTATACTCAGTTTAAAAAAATTAAAGTACCTTTGACAAATCTCGGAAATTACTTGGAAGTGTAAGGTCCAACTCTTCTGATTCATAGTTAGTGATCACCCAAGGAAATACTGGATACTGGTTTAAATCACTGTATGTACGCCCTGGTGAGAAAGAGCAATGATACTTTTTTTGAAGGCACAAAGTTAAAGAAAGCTTTACTAAACCTTATTGGAATAAATCCAACTTTAGGAAATAAAATGTAGACAAGAGTTCTCACTTTCCATCTGTCTTTAAAAAATTCCATATTTTCAAGACTGAAATAATGAATTCTTATGAAAGACAATTTAAACTAAGGAATTAATGTGAAGCGACAAGGTTGTACTGCAGAAGTCGTGTGGTGAATGTAACCTTTTCTATGTTGCTTAGTAAATTGACCAATGATACAGGAAGTCATCTTGATAAAAATATTGTTAACTAATGAAAAATTGCAAATGAAATGAATATAATACTGGAAATAATATTGAATTAACAATAATCAGTGTAGACTTCTTGGTATATCAAGAAATAAATATGGCATGCACTATAACTAAAAATAAAGACACAGGGTATCCCTGCATCACCCTACTGATATTTTCACCCAGTAAGAACAATATTATTTAATCAGGAACATGCCAGATGTTTTTAAAGGTTTTTCATTGACTTATATATTGATGGGCTGCCATGTTATCATTTATATTTAACACTGAGTTTGGATTCAAGTGATTGATTTCTGTATTTTTATATTATTGCAAACCACCTGGAGTTTTATGAGCTGGGAGGCAGATAAATGTTGAAAAATAAATGATTAAATAATGTACAGTGATTCTTTATAAATGTTAAGAAATACCAGTAACAAGCAAGAGCAAGAGCATTTATTTAAAAAGAGAGAGACTCAAATTCTTCTAATTAATTTTCAGAAAATACTATGCCAAATTTGTTCAAATTGTCTTTAAGGGATTTCCATTATTACCTGCAATGGTATTAAGAAACATAAGATATTCAAAGTTTGAAATCTCTCTGTGTTGCCATCGCTGAGTCATATTTGAAGCTTTAAAGATTTGACGTGGAGTGGCCATAGAAATACGTCTGAAATATAAAAGTTTTATGACATGTCAGCTTAAGTCCCTAAGCAATCTGGAACAAAAATATACCACTGAGTTAATTGGGAGAGTTGTGTTGCGCACACTTAGAATGAAAGAATATCAACTTGCAGTCACTTGTAACAGGCCTTCTCTAGATTTGTGCCTCTACTCCAAAAGTCTCTGAGGAGAAGGTTCATAAAGCTTTTACTATCTCAGCTTCTGAGAAGCCAACAAATCTTTGTTTACTCAGGTCCTTTCCTTATGAGCCTTGGATAAATAATATGTTTTTCTCTTTCATTTTCCCGTCACCTTTTTATTATATATCACATTTATATTGTTTTTATTCATTCTTCTGTATTGCATATTTTACAAATAAATTGTTTTGAGGTGCTTTAATATAGCAATTAGTCCAAAATATATTTAACTATCATCATAATATAATATCTATTTATGATACTTATCATACATTTAAAGTGCTTAACTACTGCTCTTCAGTGAGAGTTCCAATAATAATTAAATGGATGTTAACACTCAACTCTTGGAATCCTCAGATTTCACTGCCAGATTAACTATTTCTATAGGATTTTCTGTCTTATACAAAGCTGGCTTCAGAATAAACATAGCATAAACACAGAACTCAGAAAACATGTTTGCTAGAAAAATATTTGAAGATTATATGCATGCATAGTCTGGTTTACACTGATATTTCTTCACTAATGTCACCTGATAGTCTGTTTATATGAACAAAGCGTTCACTGTAATGATTAAATGATTCCAAAATACTGTGTTCAACTAATTTGCCATTTTATATTAAGAAATAATAGAATTTTAAAAGTGGAAGGGAATATTTGTGTGTATAATACCCTGCCCTGTACAAGAATCCAATTTGAAGAATAATAAAAGTATAAATGCCTGGTCCTCTGCTTCTCCTCCTATCAGTCCAGAGAGAACACATGCACATATTATGTTGAAATAATATGTATACTTTGGGGTTTTACTTTCTTCTGGTGATCAGATATACATTAATTATATTATAGATTCTTTATTTTAATATTATTATTCATTCTGTTAATTATGTACATCATTATAACTTGTATTAGCAAACACCAATTATCATTTCTTTCTAGAATCTAGTAGACTTCAAAATTGGTCACAGATTACATAAAACTATTGTTTACTAAATAAACAATAGCTAACTGGATTCACAACAAGAAGTCAAAAACAAATAAAATACATCATGGCTTAGTATGCCGAAGTATAAGGCACACTCTGCTGTTACCAAATAAAATAAATTTAAAAAGGGACTGCTTTCTTTTCCTAGATTTTGAACCTTTTTTTCTGACTTTGGCTATTTGCTTTCTACATTTAAACTCTATATTGCAACATTGTCAGCTGAAATTGTTCTCAAGAGTTAGTGTTAATATACCTGGTTTGAGGCAAACCGAAACTAGTTCCAATTCCAACACGAGGTAAACAATTGACTACTTTTTTTACAGTTGCAGGATCCGGAAAGTTGAACATGACAGCAACTATGTACAAGAAACATTTAGATATTATTCACTGTTATTTACACAGTGGTTCTTGGAATAATAAATCATATAACAGAATAGTGAAAATGCAATGCATATTTTTAAGACATTATCCCAACACAATGTTACAATGTTAAGAACGCAGTGCTCACTTTCCATAAAATGAATTGTCTTGTTATCATTTGGACAAAAGAATTTACCAAGCACTAAGTTAGCTTTATCATTAAGTTATGAAAGCTGGCATATAAAAAAATTATTAAAGAATCCAGGTTTTGTAAACTAAGTTCCAAATTAAATTTGTTGATTTTTTTGAAGTACTTATAACTGAATATACAACATAAAAGAATGAAGCCATTTTGGAGGTAAATAACAAAAAATCTTATTTAATATGCCTTACAAGAAGCACTTGAAGTCAACAGCTAAAATGGAGAAGGTTCCAGGAGGCATACAAGCAACTTAAATCTGAGACAGGACAAGTTACCAAAATGGGCAATCACTAATGTCCACTTTTTAATTTCTTTTGATACTGTTGATGTTCTAGAAATGCAGAACATGCTACATTTCTATATTTCAGATGCATTTTCTGTGGAGAGATTGCTTTTTCTCCTTCCCATATCTTTATTCTCATAATGCATTTATGTTGTCCATCACTTTGCCATTTATTACTTTGAACTTTCTCAGATTATAATGCAAGAAGCCTTGCTATTCTTACTATATTGTGCTGAAGGTTGTAGTAGTAACAACTGTTACCTGTGACTATGCCTTAACTGAGAATTTCCACAAACCAACAATGTCTGAGAATTTTGATTGTTGGACCTGTATGATAAATGAACCAGTGCTCCTTCCTATCTTAGCATTGTTGACATTCATTGGTGGGAAACATCTTGTACATTAATATTTCCATATGTAGATTATCATTAAAGTTCAGGACCCAGCCAGGCCCTTGATCTTTCAGGGACTTTTGGTATCATTAAACAAGGTATCCTTCTGGACAACTTTGGGGGCGGGAAATAAGAGAAGTATTGTGGTGGTTCTCTCCCTTTCTCCAGGTCCAGTTCTTGATAGGAGGGAAAAGATCTCATCCTTTACTTTGAGAGGTCCCTCATGTCTGTACATTGCCTCTGCTTCTGTTTATCATTTATGTAAACTTGCTGGATAAAGTCATTCATTAACACAGTGTTAAATATCATAGGTATCCTGATAATACATCCCTACCCCTGTCCGAGCTAGATGCTATGGGTGTCAGGGCTCCTGGATCTGGAGATTTTCTGTTTTTTTTATTTCTGGATGGGCTTGCATTCCCTTTGTGTGTGAAAGTCATAGAAATTTCAACATTTCTGACTGGTATTTATTAGGAAATTGTAATCTTACATGGTAAGTGAATGAATACATACTTCAAACTCGTAAAAGATCTCATTTCCAGAATTACCTCTGTTAGCCATAAAGATTTCCAATGCTGTATTCTGCAATAGATAGCGTCGAGAAAATACTGATCGAATCTCTGAAAACAGCCATTTCCCATGCAGTCCATCCGTATATGCAAGTATCTGATAAAAACAAATATAAGATACATTTTTAAAATAAGCAATTGCTTCATTAATTTATGAAAAGGTGTATAGTAAATACATACCCTGCCCGTTATCTTTAGTTATTTTATATTCAAAATTAAGAGAAGCATGATCAATTCAAATGAATCAGTACCACTACTCAAGGATATGGAACAGTTTCTTTCTTTCTTTGCAATAATTTTATTAAAATTTATAGTTTAAAAGATACAAAATAATACAAACTAAGAAAAATATAAAAAGTGCAGAGCAAAAAACGCTGATAACCAATATAGTAAATAAAAAGATAAAATATAATTTCTCCCTTCATCAAGCATGAACAAACAATTTCAATAACTTATCACCTTCTCTGATATTACAATAAAGGATTTCTTCTTCATATATCATCTTCTTCCCATATCTCTTATCTATAAATTAATTCTTAAAGTTTGATCCTACAGTCCTAATCAGCAAAAGTCCATAAAAAGTTATTAGTAACAACATACAGAATATATTCTAACCTTGATCAAATAAGCCAAACTTCACAAGTACTAGTACAAAATTTTTTTTTAACTTTTCATCTTCTTTGATATTACAACAAAATATCTTCTTCCCATATCTCTTATCTCTAAAAAATTCTGAAAATCTCATCATTCAGTCCTAATCAGCAAAAGTCATGAAGAGTTACCAGAAACAACATATATATTTTAACTTTGATCAAATAAACCATATTCCTGTCCTTTGTGTTTAATGATCTTGATCTTTAATTCCTTTAAATAGTATTCCAGAACTTGATTTCTTTTCATTTTCTCTCCTTCAAAACCAGAACAGTGATTGGATAACTTTCTTATTTTGAACTTACAAAAGAGATCCATTCTCTATTAATGGGTCTCTTCTCTTTTAGTTATAATCTTTAGTTCTTTTCTATTCCCTTTAGTGTCTAACTTTCAAAGTCCCATCTTATGTTTTTTTCCTAATAAACAGTTTGTCTAGTGGTTAAGGCACCAGGCTAGAAAGTGGGAGACTGTGAGTTCTAATCCCATTTTAGGCATGAAAGCTGCCTGGGCAACTTTGGCCAGTCACTATCTCTCAGCCCAACTCATCTCACAGGGTTGGTGTTCTGGGGAAAATAAGAGAGAAGATTATTATTTATGTTCACCACTTTCAGTTGTTTATAAAAATAATAAAGACAGGATAAAAAATAAAATTTTCCTATGGGAAGATTTCTTATACTTAATTTCAAATCTTATTTCAAATCCATCCAGCCCCTTAGTCTGTTTATAGCTTTCGAAAACCAATGTTCTAATCACTCTTTTTCTATTTATTCCTAAATTTTAAAAAATTGTAAATTCTTAAATTTGCATAAAAATTCTTTCACCAAGCATTGCAGGAGAGTTACCTAGTGTAATGAAACTTTCCATTCTGAAGATTTCTAATATCCAAAAAGCTGTTAATAAGCTATTTACAGAAGTGATTAAGAGAGGAAGTATAGGAACCAAGTGTCTTTTTGAAAATGTGGTTTGAGCAAAGTTGGAAATCCTTCAGCTCCCAAAGTTCTTATGGTCTTCTTGCACGGAGCTATTGTCCCTTCCTTTTCCAGAGAGAAATTCCAAAAAGGTCTATTCATCAGCTCCTCATTCTACATGGTTGGTTCCACTGTCTATGGAACAGACTTCAGTCTACATTGTTACTTTGGTAGTCTAGTGAGGGAAGGTTTCTTTTCATCAACCATAAAGTTTCACAATGATAAAATCTTAAACCACCCAGTTTAAGAACCAAACAAAACTGAAAATCATTTATATATAATTAATTTATGTTCATATAAAAAAAAATAGATAACTGCTAGGATGAGGAAGCATGACCTAAATAGCAAAACAAAGGCAGAAACCATTACTGTTCTGTAAATACTATTATTGCTAACAACCATTAGACTATTTCAATCTGGAACTCAAGGTGACATATACAGATTATTTCAATAGTGTAGCTCTAAGGTTATTTAGGATGAGATAAGGATAAGAATAATCCTGTAAATATAAACATAGCTGGGATTCTCTGGACCTAGCTCAATACTCTAACCTGTATCCCATCTGGGTTTTGATTTACTCTTTTCCATTACATACTCCTGGAAAAAAAATACTTCAACTTGCTGAATCTTACCAGGAGAAAATTTGTCCCACCCATCCCTCCATCCAGAGTTTATTTCTTTCTGGAAAATAATTTCTCTTCCATACATATTTTATTGCAATTTGTTTTTCAAAGTTGCCTTACTTCTAGTTTTCACTACAAAAGTAAACATTATGGAAGATAAATAGCTTCTCCTACTCTTCCATAGTTACCTCTAAAAATATAAAACAATTACATTAACCCTACTTTACTCTAGAATTCCACAATGCAGTATACTGTCACCAACTGACTAGAATACAGATATTCTAGTATATTGTATCATTAAATATTACAAGGCAAAAGGAAATATTTGACATCTATAATTCTGTATCCAGGACTAAGCTCTGCAATCCAAGTCTGTACAAGTATAACTTTCATTCCTTTAGTTAATATCCTAGATTATTCAATTAGTAGATAATCATAAAAATGTAACAACAGTTCTTACCTAATATTAAACAATAAATCATGGTTATAATTACAATTTTTCTTTGAATAGAATCTTAAATATAACTTCAGATAGCCAAAAAAGCTTCTCTAAGCAATTTCTGAAGCATTAACTAGAAAAAGTTAGGAGTCTGGTGGCAGCTAAAACAGGCCTTCATTCCTTGCTGGAATGGTATCTGCCTTGTCTGTAGATTCACTTCAAAGTCTCTGGAGTTCAATTAAAACTGGATTATGTGAAGCAGACCTTCTTTGGGACTTTCTTCCTTGGAAACTCCACACATACTGACAGCACCCTAGACAGAGGTCTAGCCCTCCAGTGAACCAGTTGCCATGGAAACTACATCATTACCACCACTATTGTGTTATCACACTAGGCATATTAGTTTCTAAGATATACACACATACTCCCTTTCAGGTAATCTTTTATCTTGGAGTATGTCTTGGAAAATTATATCTCCTTTCTTGTTTAAATTGTATTTTTCTAATCTGAAATCTTATTTTTAGCATATTGTACCAAATTCAGGAACCCTGCATATTCCGTTCATATGGAACCCTTTATTAAATGTTGTATTGTGTATTATTTTACGTTTAATTCCCACTAGTCATTGAAAAGGAGTAATGTTTTTTCTTATGTACTAGACAGATATATCAATGTTTGAGCAGCACAACCTCACTTCTAGCTATAGCCATCAGCTTCTAGGAAGGAATTAATAACTAATGCATGATTTTAACAGATGAAGCTTTTCAAATGAAAAGTTCCAGAAAATATATTAAGTTAGTGCTAATATAAAGGTATGTGATTTTAACTGAAAAATATATTACCCGGTTTTTTATATTATAAAAATACATGGACAGTAGTATATAAAAGTTTGTGAACCTTTTCAATATTTCTGCATAAACATGGTCCAAAATGTGGTATGTTTTCCACACAAGTTCTAAAACTGATATAGAGACCCACTGAAACAAATAAGACAAACACATTATATTGTTCCTTTATTTATTGATGAAAATAATCCAAAGCTACATTACTATACATGACAAAAGTATGTTAATCACGGCTTTTGGTAACTGGGGTGCTCCCATTGGGCAAGAATAACTGCAACTAAAAAAAATTTCCAATAATTGCTCATCAATCCTGCACATTGGCTTGGAGGAAGTTTAGCCCATTCTCCCTTACAGAACAGCTTCAATTCAAATACATTTATGAATTGCCCACTTCAGGTCCTTCCATGACACTTCTATAAGATTAAGGGCAAGTCTTAACTGAGCCATTCCAAAACAACAGCTTTCTTCTGTTCTAACCATTGTTTAGTCATATGACTTGTGTGTTTTGAATTGTTTGTGTGTTTTGGGTTGATTTCTATGTTTTGGGTTGACATGCGCATACTGAATAATTTCCTCAAATAAATGAACAAGTATAACATTTTTGACTTGTTTAATTGGGTTTTCTTTATCTAGTTTTAGGAATTGGATGGAGAACAGATCAAATTTTAGGTAACATCAGACAGCATGTTACACACTAGAGCAGCGGCCCCCAACCTTTTGGGTACCAGGGACCAGTTCCATGGAGAGAGGTTTTTCCGTGGACCGGAGACAGCATTTTTTTGTATGTTGCCTGCATTCCACGGATGGGCCTTTGCTTGTTTGTGTGGACCAGTTGCTGGCATGCCGTGGCCTGGTACTGGTCCATGGACTGGGGTTGGGGACCCCTGCACTAGAGAACCTATGACCCACTGGGTCATCCTTTCAAAGGTATTTTTTTATTTAAACAAAGAAACAAAATGATCACAGGCAGTAAAAAAAAAAAAAAAGCGGGAGCATGAACAACTTCCAAGTTTCTGCCAACTTCCCCACTGAGGTTGCTTGTGGAAGTTGGCAAGGAGTGTTGGAAATCATTTCTCCTCCTCCTCGGCTGACCTGCAGAATTACCTACCAAAGGTACAAAGATAGCAATAAACCATGAAGAAAGCTGAAGCCCCTCTTCCTACCTCAGCATATCACCTGTTCCCTGTCTCCAGGAAGGAAGAGGGCTCACCTGTCAACTACCAGTGTCCCCAGCCAGCCCTACCTTGCAAGCAGACATCCGAGTCACTCCTGTATCCTTCCCTCACTGCCTACTACTCATAACAAGTATATTTGTCAAAATATAAAAAATGTGATGAATTAATTGTATTTCTAACATTTTAATTCTTAGCTTTAGTTTTTCACATCTTGGATGTCAAAATTATTTGTGGCCTGAAAACAATTACTGACTTAGCATGCTATATAACTTCAGTCTTTATGAAGTATGCTTCGATAAGCCAAACCAATCATATAAACCAGTGATCTCCAATCTTTCTAGCCGCAGGATAGGGGGTAGGGAGGATGATTTTGCGTGTGTGCACATGCCCACTTCT